TAGCCGGCCCGGGCGATCTGGCACTACCAATCAACCACCTCCCCAAACCTTCACGGGCCCAACTCCCGGAAACCAACCAAATTTTGCTGCACAGGGCACTGAGAGTGGAAACCAGGGAGGTGCTGGTGGCTCCAAGACCCGAAATTCTTTCCCTCATGCGTTTGAGCGATGGGAGACGTTATCTGCCCACTGGGAAGGACTCACCAGCTACTGGATCCGCAAGCTTGAACAAAACAAGGACGAGTTGAATCGGGATCCTTTGAATCAACAGCTCGCGCGCCAAGTGACAGATCTATCTGCGGCCGGAGCCAACCTATTTCATGCCGTTGTTGAGCTTCAGCGTCTTCGCGCAAGTTCGGAGCGAAAGTTCCAGCGATGGTTCTTCGAAACTCGAACCGAATTGGAGCGCGCGCAAGAAGTCAATGCCATGTTGGAGGCTGCCCTCGACCAAGAACGTAGAGGCCGAGCAGATGCTATTCGAGAAGCTGTTGAGAATGAACGGGGAACTTCTAAAGCCCAAAAACAGCTTGCTGAGATGCGCAAGGAGCTGTCAATCTCCAAAGAGGAGGCGCGTCGTGCATGGGAGGAATTGGGGCGACGTGAGCAGGAGGAACGTGACAGAACGCTGTCTCTTCAGTCAGGGCAGCCTACTATCGTTGGAGGCGTACAAGTGGTTCCAATGACACATGGCGGTCCAAGCAGACATCAAAGTAGCCGAGCTCAAGGGGCTTATCAGACTGAGTATGGAGCTAGTTACCCGCCTGAGACGACTTCCTCTCCCCAGACTCAACCCCCAACAACAAGTGCTGGCGAATATCGTCAGCAAGGTGGTGGCCTTCAGGCACCAGTATCAGAGGGTGGTTACAGCGAAGGTGAGTACGTGATTGATGCAAATGGCAACTTCCTGTTGGATGCCCAAGGAAATAAGATTCCCTTCGCTGGACCACCTTCTACCTATTCCGGTTCTGATGCTGAAGCAGAAGAGTATGCAACGCCCGCTACCACCAACCCACCAAGCGGTAAACAAGATTCTCCTTCCACCTCCACTGGGGGAGGAGGCAGTGGAGGGAGCGGAGGTCAATGGACTGGCGCATACTCAGACCCTCAAGACTATTCCGGCCAAGGCTATGGGACTCCTGGCTGGGAGACAGTCCCTCGCCATCACCATCCTACCCGGCTGAGTGATGTCATGGAAGAGGAGGATGAACGCAGCCGAGCCAGTACGAGCCGTGTATAGGACTCTGCGAGTTCATGCTGATGCCCATGGCCGGCTCGCATATGGCTCTCTTTTCAAACAGTAATTAATTGCAACCAAACGACACATTCATTTGAAGCCGGGCCAGCCACAAAACAACTACGCCCCGTCACAGCAAACGAGAGCCTAATTTCTTAGATCAGTCGTCAGTTACAGTTCTATGTTGGAGCGTTGTCGCATTGTTACAGCCATTCCCGCTTTACAGCACTGGAAATTCGGTCCCAGGACGTGTCTTATTGTACATTCGACTGAAACGAGTTTCTTCGACCAAGTCTGCATCTAGAGAAGGTCTTAATTATGCCATAATAATCCACACCAGGCCTGGGACCTTGTTCGAATTAATCGCTTTTTGTTCAACCGTATCTATACATCAGTTATACACATCAAAGCGGACTCGGGATCACATAGCAAAACAGTTGCCTCGCGTGTTCTCACCTATCTCTTTTATTATGCACTTATCATAAAAAGCTTCGGACGATTGAATCAATAGCAACGAGTAGTTGTTGTGGATATGGTCTTGCCGTCACGAAAAGCTTCACTTCTGGTTTGAACAGTCCGGGGACAAAATCGCTACCAGGGGACATTTGGAGCTCACATCTGTTGCATGCATGGTTTTATTGCTAAAATAAGAACGAGATATGGAGTTGAGGGTCTTGGAGTACGGAGTGCGTATGGAAATTGGAGTTATTGCTGTTGTTTTCCTCACTCGCATGGATGACAGGAGATCCTGGCCAACTAATAATTGCTAGATGGGATCGGTGTTGCAGGGCCACATTTATAAGGACTAGAGAGTACAGGGTCAATGTGAAATTTATACGTTTTACGATGCAAACATTTGACCAATTTCAGGCAATATGTTATATGTTCGGGATTGATATTACAGGTGGCTAGACCAACTGCAACTGCGCTCGAAGGCATCTGTGGATAGAAGATGCAAATACTCCAGCGGCAATGCGTTGTCGTCGATACTATTCATTCGAGCCCCAAAACGTATATATGTGTGCGAGGACATTGGCATGTATGTGAAGGGTCGTTTGGTACCCAAGAGCCTTGCCATGGACACTAATCAAGAAACCCAGAAGAAACTCTACACAAGAAAACGCCATTCGTTCGCCTTTCTTACTCTCCACGACTCCAAAAGCTACATAGAGAGATATTTCGTATTCATACAGCTGCGTCACCCCTTGTCTCAGCACCGTCCTGCTGAGATGTGGTGCCCCAAGGAAAGCCATCGCTGGTGCTAGCTTGTGATGGCTGGCGGCTTCTGCTCCTGAACCAACTCAATGAGAGGATGTTACCAAGAACGCCTGAGTCTGTGGAGCTCCTGTTTCTCTGGTATCGGCGAGCCTTGAGACCTGGAAATCCTGTGCTCTTTCGCCTTCGTCGTGTAAGTCGTCGAGGCGTAGATTCAGTGCTTGGCCCAGATTCCTCCCCAACAGGGCCGCTGGTGGTAGATCTCTTGCTTGGGAGCAGAGGTGAGGACTCTGTATGGCGCGGCAGTGTACTAGACCGTCTCCTGTTGCCTGGAGTACTAGGCTCATCCCGATCCTCCAACTCATCCCAAATCTCAGCTCGCTCAGCCCACCGAGGTGTCCTCTTGCGAGAGGGGACCAGTGGTGTTTCGTCAATCGCGGGCGGGAATGTTTGATATGTATGTGGAATTGAGTCTTCATCTGTAACGGCATTGTCTGAGCCAAGCAGCGACTCTTCCTCCTCGGTGTCCTCCACAAGTCCAAGACCAGGGGCAAGGGACGACTGTCCAACACCGGGTGTATGCTGCTCGTCGCTTAATCGCCATGAGAGTGCCAGGACGCCCGAAAGCAGAATAACAGTTCCTAAGGCAATGAGACATGCTCTTAGAGGCGATATTAGGCTTGTCTGGTTGAAATATATCAAGCCGTCAAGAATCGCGATGATATTGTAGACACAGAAAACCAAAGGGTAAAGAACAGAGGTTGAAACAAGTTTGAGGCCTCGGTGTAAGTAATAGAGCTGGCATAGAGCCAGCGTGACGAGAGCTAGGACGATGGCCCAAGATTCCCAATGCACGAACTGGTTACGTCCAGCAACAGTCTTGATGACCAGCTCTACCGAGGACTTGGCGAACAATAGTGCATGAGCAGAGAGATCTCCACTGATGACGCCGTAAGTAATACCTCGAGCCAGCCGAAAGCGGGCGTCGTGTGATAGGCTCGACATGCTGTTGACTATATCAACGGCCAGCGCCAGAGTAAGGACAAAGAGCGCCTGGAGTATCATCCAGACAATGTATGGCCTTCTCGCCATGAGTTCCAACAGCTCCTTCAAGTCATGCGCCGGAGACGGAATGGCTCCGAATATAGCGATCAACACAGCGCCAGTTGTAACGAGAATCGTGCCGGACAAAGACCATCTTGTGAAAGGTTCGCTAAGGATCAATGATGCGCATATCGAGTTGAATACGAGGCCAGCGGCCTGCAAAGTCGAGAGAACGGGGAGCGGAAGTGTCGAGATCTGAATACTGCTTCCCAGCAAGTTTGCTACAATAAACATGCCCATGCCAATCTGCCACCTCCTCCTTCGGTAGGGAGGGCGTCGGACATCGTGAGGTCCCTTTTCGTCCTCGAGTATATGCGACTTTCGCTGCAAGGTCAGACCCAGACTCTGAACACTGGTCGATATCAATCCAACAATAATTCCAAGCTGCAGTCGCCAACATTAGCACATTTATCCGTTCACACAGCGCTGTACGTAACGTACAGCTATGCTCCCTCCAGAAGAGATGCCGTCAAGCAACCCCATTGCGCCTGTGCCAGGTCCGAGGTCATCTGGCAAGGGAGAGTTGAGGCGAATTGTTGAGACGTCGCATAGGCAGTGTATTTGGTACAAGGATCGCTTCGTGTCACTGGACTAGTAAAGGGTGTATTCGTTTCGATAGATTCGAGGGGAATGGCTGGTTGTAGCGCTAGTCGTAGGTAACGCAGGAGGCTGTTGAGCTGCGGCTGATCGGAGAGGAATACCAGCAGGTGCTTTGTTCAAGAGAGGACCGGAGAATATAGAGAATGAATATGAATACACAGTTTGATACGATAAGTTTATGTCTTGAATTGAAACTAATCAATAGAAAGTCGGAGGCGGACAAGCTTGAGTCGAACGTGGGACACCTGACGTGAGTTAGTAGAGTAGACTACAGTACCTAGAGCAGATAGACATGCAGCTGCTCTCACACGGGACTAATTAGCCACTGTGGCGGTGAAGTTACATAATGCAATATGTAAACCATGCAAAATGTCCTTGGGCTGATCTCCATTATTCGCACTCAAATCTGCTCTGCAAGTGTCTAAATAAGGTCCTTCCCACAAATGTACCTAATCCTTCCAAGGACTGCACGTATCTTGCGATGAGGTGTGAGAACGAGACTCTTTCGAATGGCTGTGCTACCTCAGCACCTTACCTACCTTAGGTAGTGTACTCTAAACAGTGGAGAACAACTGTGGCTTGACTACCTAACCCCCCAGCTTCAGTCGGTTCCCTGCTGGAGCACACAGTAAGATACGGGCAGCTAAGGAGCTGGTAGGCTGGGTCTTGGAACGGCTGGCGTCACATACACAGCTACCAACTCCATCATAGTCCATCGCCAACCTTGACCTTCACTAACAAGAGGCCATCGCCAGCCTTTTACCACTTCAACCTTGACCCCATCCAGGGCCCTCCCTATCATCCTATCACTTTTCGAATCTAACAAATCCATACAAATCTGCCCATCATGTCGCAACACGCCTTGTCCGACCAGCAGGTACGCATGCCCAAACGACGCAATCCCTCATCCATCTCACCAGTCCCCTGATTCTAACGCGCGGTTCCCCTCTCAATTAGGTCAACAATGAGCTCAGCAAGATGACGGAGTTCATCAAGCAAGAAGCCATGGAGAAGGCCCGCGAGATCGAGATCAAGGCCAACGAGGAGTTCGAGATCGAGAAGTCCAAGCTCGTCCGCCAGGAGACAGATGCCATCGACAGTCAGTACGAAAAGAAGTTCAAGCAGGCCACCATGTCCCAGCAGATCACCCGCTCAACCGTTGCCAACAAGACGCGACTCAAGGTCCTCGGTGCCCGCCAGGAGCTGCTCGACAACATATTTGAGGAGGCCCAGAAGAAGCTCGCCGAGGGTGCCAAGGATAAGGGCAAGTACCAAAAGGCCCTCAAGGGTCTCTTGCTCGAGGGTTTCTACGCTCTGGACGAGCCTGAGCTCCAGGTCCGCGCGCGCAAGAAGGATTACGATGTTGTCAAGAAGGCCATCGAGGAGGCTGCCAAGGAGTTCAAGAAGGAGCTTGGAAAGGACATCACAGCAAAGATTCAAGAGGACGATCCCCTCCCCGAGGGAATGTATGTGCAAGCCTGTTGCAGAAGATTCCTGAAGTGGGTAGCTAACAGAGTTATAGTGCTGGCGGTGTCGTTATTATCAGCGGAAGTGGAAAGATTGACATCGATAACACCTTTGAGGCGAGATTGCGACTCTTGGAAGAGTCTGCTGCTCCTGCAGTACGAGAGGCTCTATTCGGCAAGAACCCTAACCGTAAGTTCTTCGACTAAACTCCCTTTGGCCACCATAAATATTTCTATATGGGAGCCTCTACGTACGTACCGTCTCCATTAGTGCACGACTGGGGAGGCTCTTCAACCGTTCGCGGCCCGCATTGTTCATCAGTCTGCGCTTGTAGTTTAGAGGCTGTGTATTGTGTTTGACTCTTTTGTCTGATTTGGGACTTTGCCCGCGGTAGAATTGATTACACGTTCAAATACTCGCGACATACAACAGTACCTAGTGAATCGCCGCATGCCTTCATCCTTTACGCCTAGCCCTGTAGCTCTCACGTTTATTTCACCTTGACCACGATCGTATCGGCGTCTACTGCTTCGTGGAAGACTTCCTCTGATTCTGTAGGGGATGGTTCGCCCACTGGATCCGGCACACTCTGTGGTGCTTTGTTGAGGAAGCTCTTCATGTAATTCTGCTGCTTCGGAAGGAAGGGATCCTCTCTCTGACCTGGCAGGTCAAATATGCTCTTCTTGGCCTTTCGGCGTGTACGGACTGAGTGTGCAAGTCGCTGCTGGACCCATTCTATGGCGCTTTTGGCTTCTGTACGAGCGAGTTTCATACCCGCATCGTTGATCTTTCGCCAAATTTCCCTCAATCTGACTGCAAGCTCGTCGACATCGCTATTGAACTGTTTTTCCTTCTCCGGATCATCAGATGGTGCGAATGAGCCGTCATCCACGACGATGTTGATAAGGATAATTTTGGCCTGGAGGAGGGCGAAATCTGTCTTTGGTCCGACGAAGAAGTCCTCGTCATCCAAGAGTGCTATGACGCCACGAATAGTAACCACATCGTCGGGATGGTAACGACCCAAGCTGGGGTCGTTGAACAAAAACACTACAGCCAGTCGGCGTCTAAGTTCGTGAGATCTGGCTTTGCTGATAGGCAGACACGCAAGAGCATTGGTCCTCACACATTGTTCTTTGACTAATGTGTACAGCTGTGTACATGTTTCAGAGCACTGCATACGTGTTAGTCAGAATCTCGCGTACCACCCTTGGGTGTAACTCACAAATGTGTCCCAGCCAGGCTGAGGAATAGCTTCGAGAAGGGCATGGATACAAGTTTCATAGGTGACCAATAAATCAATCTCGTATATCAAGAACCTGTCCATTGACATACGTAGGAGCGTCCGAGAAGCATAGACAACTGACTCCTGGGACATATAGGGCGAGATGGCCGTGAGGAGCGATAAGAAGGAGCTGAGAGACGACCAGTCGCGTCCTTCGTAAGGTTCGGCATTTGGTTTCAGAAGATTCAACTGAGAGTCTTGTTGTTCAAGCTCAGAAGAAGCACCGAATCGACGAAATAACTCCTCCAAACGACGCGGCGTGACAATGCGTGCAACTGCTTCTGGACACGAGCTGAGCAAGTTGCAGTATTCTCGTCTGACAAGGATTGACTTTTGGGAGCAAACCTCACTCAGTATCCATTCGAAAAGCTCGTCCGGGAGTTCCCCTTGCATTCGCAAGACGGTAAGGGGTAGTCCTGAGGCGAGGTGTTGCTCACGTGTCCGGTAATCGCCTTGAGTCAACAGTCTCCATGGCCCTTTGTTGAACTTTTTGGGGGCAGCTGTGGGGGATGGTATTGTATATCCTTCACGAAAGAAGCAATATCGAAGCTGCGAGTGTCCCGGTGCTGACCTTTGAACGGCTCTCATAACTTTCTGGGCATCTTGGCCGGTGTTGTTCTTGACAATGCCCTCCATCACATCCCGCGACATCTCGTCCGCTGTCGTTTGTTGGCCATGTTGTCCAGCAGTTGAAAAGGCCTTGATCTTTAAAGCACTTGCATGAGTCGCATCATTCTGTCTGGCATCCTTTGCGAGAGCTTTGAGGTCGAATTTGTGCTTGGACATTATCGCCAATGGGGACGCAGGAAACTCAACTGCAGTTCTCTTGGCCCTTGGGGTCGTAAAGGGATTGTGAAGAGGGGTACCAGCAGCCTTTCCTGGGCGGCCTCGTCCGAGGATAGCAGACAGATCCTCCAGCGAATCGTCTGAGGATGCTCCAAGATCATCTTCTTCGTCTGAGTCTTTTATCTCAAAGTTTCGGGGTATTGTTTCCGTCTTCTTGATCGGGGTCGCCAACTTTTGTTCCAATGGTGATGAAGGTGGCTGTGGCGATGAAGGTGGGTTTGGTGTTGAGATTCTGGAGGCCTTGGGTGTTTGTGATTTTGTCACAGGTTTGAAGAAACTCATAATATTCCCATTTTTACCTTTTTGAGACATGGCGTATCTGATTCAATAGCCAGCGGCTATTCAACAGAAAAGAATAATAATGCAGCAGGTTGTTTGGAGAGTCTCCTGGGTTTGATAAGGTACCTTGACCTGCAAAAATGACTGCAGGTACAGGGTGTGTGAAGGAAGTACAAGATGCAGCTACGACATACAGAGTACTAACCGCGTTAATGGCTTTAGGTTGAGACGCGTTGAGTTACAGTAAGGCTGGTGACTAAGTGTGGCTGCTGTGGCTGCCTACACGCTGACTGCGATGAGTTACGGATATGAATAGCATCATCATTATCATCATCATCATGCGGCTGTGTCTAGTCAGTGCTTAGGTCAGAGCAATCTCTAACAAAACGACTGACATCTAAAAGAAGTCATGGGTTGCATCTTGGCCGCTGGCAGACCCCGCCCTAGAGATGTAACCATTTCTAGATGTGGCGCTCTACCGAATAGGCGGCTAAAAGGAATGGTGACAAGTTCTTGGCCCATGGATCCCTTTCTCTAGACTAGTAGGTAACTTAGAGTTTCCAGAAGAGTTCCCTCTTGGACATCGGTCTTCTAGTTAGTTCTCAGCATTGACCAGGCCTTTATCACGATGCAGACGTAATGCAGTTGTTTTTAGCTCACTGGTTCGTGCTCCAAGATACGCGGCGTGTGCGGGATCATCAAGCCTCATAATCTATCAACGACACATGGGTGTTTCGTCCATGTAGACTGTGGTCGAGAAAAGGGGTTCATTATCCGTTTAATGCCAACACCGCCGAGAACGCTGGGGAACGATGGTCGGAAATGGAGTCAGCGTTCATTCCAGCATTTCGTCTCTTGATACTGCACAAATCATAATGCAGTATTGTAATCGGGTGTAGGAACCTTATGTCTGGTATGCGACCCCAAGATGCTGACTTAGACCTTATTTCGTTCGGCATTGGTTTAGTGCAACGTCGATGTTGGTGTAGGTAATGAAGCTGTTGAAGGATCAGGTCTAACACGCCCAAGCTGACTGTAGTGTAAGCTGGGATAGATAGTTAGATGTGGTCTCGGGGCATCCGAGCCTGACAGGAGTCCAGGGCGGCTCGGGTTGTTGTTATACAGACAGCTTCTTGTTAGATGATGACGCCTGGATACGACAGTGGGTCATTTGCGAGCCGGTCTCAAACGTCCAATCCGAGGCTGACGCAGCACAGCCCAGCTCGGCGCGTTCCATTCTTTGCTTCTGAAGGGTTGGATCAGAAGTCATGGATCATATGGATCCTTCCATCTCTCTAGCCTGGGCAGTCCTAGGGTTGATAAAAAAGCACACCTCAGATTAAGAATTAGAGGCTGAACGTTTGACTCAGGTGTTACGACCGGATGGTTATATGTCACACAAAAAAACGAGCCAACAGAGGCGATGACATTTCATCATTTTTTAAATTTACGCCCACGATCACGATCACGAGATATTTAGATGATTTCAACCAGTCGATATGATCTTGGCGATCTAGTTCTACTCGTGATATTTGGCAACCCCTGGGAAGTCCTATCACTGGAAATTTGGACCTGCAGATGGTAGGCTCAGGAGAGGAGACCCCTAGCAAGGGTCCTCTCTAGTTGACGAAACAAGGAGCAAAGGGCACTCGCGTTCCTGAGCGGCGCTGAGCTAATAAGGCTTTAAGACAGGGGGACAATGGGTCTCTTGTTACTTGCAAGTACCTTACCTACCTTACCTACCTACCCAAGGACAATGCCATGGTAAGAGAGCCAAGCATCCACGGGTTTTCATGATCGGATAGGACAGTGCAGCAATAAGGGCAATTAAATCAGTGCAATGTAGCACTGTAAGAAACAAAGTGCTTCGTACAGAGCGTGTGTTTCGTGTTCCTGTCAATCCTCGTACGGGAATAACACAGACTCGAAAAAACCACATCTCCAACACCTGGGCTTGAACAAATTGAGCTTGGAGTCAGGCAGGCTGTATGATGAAACGTCGATTTGTTGATGGCGAATCTCTACTAACCAACTGGAACCGCAATCCGTCACCTGTGGTGAAGCACGTCCTAACGTTAGAAGAGGCAAGAAAACTTAGGATCTCTGTTCTAGGTGACAAAAATGATTAGGCAAAGCTGATATAGGCCCTATTGGCTTTTACATCAATCCTTTTTGGCATCCCAGGCCAGGTTCATAGCTTTTCTTGAGGCACGGCAACGCCGTACTCAGCACCGCAATGTGTTCGTTCCATGGGCTCCGAGAAAGCGGTAGACCCCGCTGTGTTTGTAAGCCCGATGCTGCTTTATTCATCAGTCATGACTGCATCTGCTTATGAGTTACGGAGTAGTCCCATTGGATGACGGCGGAGAAATATCGTGGCGCTTTTTCTCGCTCGCAAGTAAAGTCCGTGAGCCCGACAATGCGGAGGTAAAATCTGGACATAACGGGATCTGCGGAGGTTGACGACAAGCTATATATTTCCATCCAAGAGAGGAAGGCGCTCGTATAACTCCGGGATGCCTTACTGCCTGCCAAGAGGCATAGTAGAATTAGATGTACCTAGATATAGAGTAGGTTAGTAAATAATAAACAAAGGACGTCGCCGGTCAGGAAAGAAACGGAACAAAAAAGACAACGACCAAAGTCTGTTTAATGAGGGGCTGATATTCATTCATTCATCCATTCATTGAAGCAACGTGGGGCTAATGCTACATATGTACATACATTAACAACTTAACCTTGCTGGTCCTCTCTCTATGAGGCAGGGACGTGAAGATCTGGTCGAAGCTTGTTCCTCGGCTGTTTATGAGGCTGGCAAGTGTTTCTCTACCAGGAATAACCCTTCCCTTCTCACACTTTGACAGTAAATATCCTCGCAAAGGAAGAAAGCTGTCTCAGAAGATCTTCGTTATAGCGTGGTATTGTACATTAATAAAGGAGGACGAGGCGAAACCGGATCTTGATGCCGCCAAGCGACCATTGAGATCATCACGCAAGGTTGGATAAATAAAACAGTGGAGGATTCCGTCTTGAAACATTGCAACCGCTGGAGAAGTTGCTACC